CTAACTCGCCCCCCCGGCACTGGCCAGCTGCAGCGTTGGCCGCCCTTGTTTCGGCTGGAATACAATCCTGGGGCGACACAGATCCAAGCCCTCCCCTCCGTTCCTCCCCTAAATGCAGCCATTCACTGCTCATCCCTGCAGCAACCTGGCCTTCAAAAGCTGCTTAGTTTCCGAACAAATAACAAAGGGCTAAAGATAGCACAGGCCAGATTAAAGCATCTGAGTATTAAAGCCCAGCCTCGGAGCAGTCCCACGGCACGAGACACTGCTTGCTTTTTCTCTCTGACATTAAGATCCCCTTTATCAAACCTGTTTCGGTCCCAGCAGAGCTTTGCCCAGAGCCAGTTCTCTGTAATCCCTCGCTGCAGGGCTGTAGCCAAAGCCCGGCACAGGCGCAGGGAGTCTTTGCCCTGACGCAGTGGGGTTTGCCCCGCCCGGGGGGCGCCCAGCCAGCACGGCTCGCCGGGGCGAGCAGGCGGTTCAGGTCCGGGCAGCAGGACAGCAGAGACCGAGTCCAGAGCGCGGGGGACAGGATCGGGTCTGCAAGGCCGCAGGGACCACTTTGCACCCAGGCCTGGCCGCGGCCCCGACGCTCCCTGCGCCCCCACGCAGGGGAGCAGCGGGACCTCGCTCCCCTCCGTGGAAAGCAGAGGCTCCGATGCACTCCTGCGGGTCCTGTCCCCCTGGCCGAGCGCTTGAACAGGCATCTAATCGTGTGGCTTCCCTAATTTACGTCAGCCCAGCAGTGGGGCTGATAAGTGCTGCTTTTTCCATAGCCCTTATCGTGCCCCGGCTGAGGCTGGGTTTGCTTTAGCCTCGCTGCAGCTGAGCCGATGTCACGCTGCCTGCCAAGCGGGGCTGGGGGAGACCTCTGGGCTGCACAGGCCGATCCTCCCAGCATGGCTCTGGCCCTGCTCCTTGCTCTGTCGCTGGCTCTTATCCCTTTCCCAGGCAAGCCTGTTTCCGGCTGCACAACTTTGTGTTCAACCCGTGCTTGCAAAGTGGTGACCTTCCCCATACGCTTCAACCAAGCTCGACTGAATCAGGTCCAAATATCACCAGCATGAGATGTGGGTCAGGGCAGTGAGCATGGCAGAAGGTGGTGACCAAGATCTTGTTGTCGATTGCTCCACAACCCCCGGGGGCGTGAAGGACCATGGTGATGCCTCTGGGCTGTGCAGTGCTGCAGTGGGTGATGGTTCTTGGAGTCTCACCAGTCCATGTGCCATGTCCACCTGAAGCAGTGGCCCTGCTCACCGGCTGGGCACCACTCGCACCTCTGCTTCCCCTTGCTAGTTGAGCACAGTTTCCAGCCCCTTTGGAGATGCGCGAGGAGCTAATGCCGCTGTCCTCTTTTCAGCACACTTGCAGGTTTTCCTTGGAGTGGGGCTGGCCCTGTTGTGCTTCAGCCTTCTCCTGGGCTGCGCAGTATGCTGGAGGCAACACAGGAGGCTCAGGCCTCACACTGGCCGAGAGCAGGTGCTGGAGCAGACGCTGGTGGACCTGGCACCTGTTCTGCCCTCCAAGACCGCAGTGGTGCCAATCCAACGGCAGTACGAGGATATTACAGGAGAGGTGCTGGGTGCCCAGGCTGAAGAAAGCTCTCCAGCATCACCCACCCACGGCACAGACGTTCTCCCCGGCAGGGTCTCCTTGCCCAGCCTCCCTTTGCCCCAGAGGCTCAGCAGACCCTCCAAGCTGATGGGAGCCTGGCAGCGCCGCTGCCCCATCTCCGGGGCCAACATCCTCTGCAACGAGAAGAGCCAGCTGACCAGGCCCAGCCTGGGAGCCAGCATCCCACAGTCCTACACAGCACCGGGCAGCCTCTGCAGCGCAGGTGCCAAGCAGCAGCCCCAGCTCCACTTCGACTTGTTCTACTCGCTGGCTGAGGCCATGCTCACCGTGACGGTCATCAGCATCTCCCACCTGCCCAAGGGGCTCCGGGGCACCTGCGACTCTTACGTCAAAGTATACCTTCTACCACAGTGCATCAAGCCCCAGCGCACGGCAGCGCGCAGGAAAAGCCTCAACCCCACGTTTCAGGAGCAGTTCCAGTTTGGCCGTTACGGCCTAGAAGAGCTAAAGAGCTTCACCTTGCGCTTTGCTGTCTACATGAAGTTTCATAGCCTCAAGGACTCATTTGTGGGAGAGGTCGTCTTCCCCTGTGCTCAAGCTACCTGGAGCCCAGAGTCATCTTCTAGCTACAGCCGAGAGCTGTCGACCACCAAAACCAAGCTCAAAAAGGTCAGGAACACAGGGGTTTCCAGCACTGATTGAAATCCTCATGTTTTGACTGAAGTCTGCTTGCTTTCAGAGCCTTAAACTCCACCTGCTGCTGCAAGAGCAAGAGCAGGAACTCTGATCCGCTTGGTGAAAATCATCCCCCCAAGCAGGTGGTACTGCAGGGTTTGAGAGAGCAGGTCCCACATTTCCCTGGTGTTGTCTCTTGTGGCCCCATGTTCAGGTTCGCAAACTAGCTACAATTAATACCTATTGATCATAACGGTCAGTAGCCAGCCTGCTCAGGAGCATCTCACAGGTAGTTGCACAAAACGTACCCTAGTTCAGCCAGAAGGGGAACTGCTGCAGATCTGGATGCTGAGTGGGGAAGGGAGGAACACAGAGGAGAGAGAAGCTGGGCACTATCCTTACAGCAATTACAAGCTCCAGCTTCACCTTCCTCACTCATTTTGACCTGGCTTGACCTGCCCATCATAATTTTCTAGGTGGGAGCCAAGTACCCTTGAGGTGGAGTGGCTGGATGAGGTCGGAGAGGTTTTAACTGGCTTTCCTGCTCTCTAATTTCATTGCAGTGTCTCAGTTCCCATGACATGAGCTGCAGCGTCCTCTCCTCCCAGCCTAAATCCCTTGGTCAACTCTTCCTTCTCCTCCAGTACCAAGCTCTGGCCAACCGGATCAAGGTATTGGTCCGCAAGGCAGAGAACCTGGGCCGGCTCACTCGCATGCCAGGCACGCCAGGTAGGACACGGTGTACGGACAGTAGGGCCAAGGGGATGCCCAGGCTTGGTAAGCTTTGATGGACAGGAAGGAGATGGCAGAGCACAAAAGACTAGCAAAAGCCTTGACCAGCAGTGTCAACTGCAGTACATCCACTTGCATCTGCCAGGGTCTCAGAGCTGCTGCCCAGATTAGTTTTCTCCCTCGCAGAAGCAAATCTAGCATCTAACCTGATCCATATGGACACTTCTCAATTTATTCTTAAAGACTCCCACCATTTCAACCCCACCATTCCCAGACTGTTCATCTTGTGCTGAGGTCTCCCACTATTAGCAGGTTTTTCCCCTCGTATTTAGCTGTGATCTCTCTTGCTGTCCATCAGCCCATGGGGACAGTGGGAATGGCTTATACTCTTTTCTTAATAGGTACCTGGAAGATGCTCTTATTTCCTCTAGAACTTCTCTTTTCTAAACCAAACAAGTGCAGTTAACACACTTAGGGTGTAGATATTTCCAGTACGTCCAAAAAATCATTAACACACACACACACACACACACACACACACACACACACATATATACGTATATATGTATCTGTATATGTTAAAAAAAATAGCACGTGGAATTTTCTGTCCTGCTGTCTGTTGTAATGCGTTGCTGCCCCAGCCCATGGATGAACCTCCACCAAAGCCATTACCTGGGGTAGCCTGGGAAGTGGGCAAGGATGCAATCAGAGGACTTTGGAGGTCCCTGCTTCCTGACCAGGGGTGGGTAGGTGCAACCAAGACAGTAAAGCATCTTTCCATCCTATCCTAACAGCTCCACGGAGCCCAGCGGAGGTCTTGTAGTTCTCTGGGCACCCCTTTCTGGCTGCTGCAAGCCTTGCCCACACAGTGCAGTAACTGGCCTCCCCCTGCAGCCTGACAGGCTAACCTCCAACCTCTATCCCTTGCGCATGTCCAAAGCAGGCTCCTCTTACCGAGACTCTGTCTCTGTTTCCAGACCACTATGTCGTCATCCACCTTTACCACAACGGTCAGGTCATCGACACCAAGGAGACCAAGTCCATCGCTGGCTACAACCCCGTCTGGAACACACCATTCCTCTTCAACATCCCTGCTGGGGACATCCAGCAGCAAGAGCTCTCCTTGGAGTTCACCGTGATGCAGGTGCGCAGGATGGAGGTGTGGTTGCGCCCATGACCGTGGTCAGAGGTTAACGCTGGTAACCCTGTGCATAGAAGGTGGCTTGCCTCATCAAGGGCATGTTTGTGCTCAGGAGCATCTCCAGGGGTCTGGTGCTGCCTGCCATGTGGGGTTAGCCGACATTTGTGGGAGGGGTACAGGCAAGGTCAGAGGAACTATTTCTTGCTATTGGCAGGAGGCTGCTGGGCTGGGCTGGTTCTTCTTGGGGTAATGGGTGTTTCTAACTCCCTTGAAAGCCATCAGCTGTGCTCCACACCGCTTCTCCTCCTCTCCTGCCACAGGCTCCTATCTACACCCGCAGCTACACCCTGGGCCGGGTGCAGGTCGGCCCCAGCGCCCCCGAGGCAGGGCTGGTGCACTGGAAGGAGATGTGCGGCCGAGGCCAGGTGGAATCAGCGCGGTGGCACTTGATCCAGCCTGAAGCTCTCAGACCCTTCCCTTGACCTTCCCTACAACCCATCAGCAGGGCTTGCCAGGACTCATCTGCCCACTGGAGCAAGCGAATGGGCACCTCAGTGCTTTGTGCATGAACAGGGCCATTTCCAAGCGTTGGAGAACTGAGGTGTCAGTGTGCACATTGCTGTGGGAGAAGCCTCAAGTCCATCTCCAGGGCTGGAGATCAGCTCTGGTCAGCACAAACCCCTTCCGAACTGCTCCAGAGGGAAACGTGCCAGTCTGAGATGGCTTCAGCCTTGGGGAATGGAGAAAAACAAGTGGCTCAGAGCACAGCAAGAGCCTTTCTTTGCTACATCTGCTAGATGCCTGCTCTGCGTCTGGACAGAGGGAGAGCCCTGCCCAGGTTAAACCTTGGCAGTGGAAAGAGATGGGTGGGAAGCCCCTAGGCTGTGAGATCTGCCCGGAGCGCTCCACTGCTGGCCATTGTGGGGGTATTTTATGCCCCTTCTAGCCCACGTAGCTGACCATGATCAGCCCACCTCTCTCTCTTCATCAAATCCTGCAGCAGCTAAGAGCTTCCCCCAGCGCTAAGACACAGAGCAGCAGGTTACCAGCAGGCACTTCCCAGACCCTCGCGTGGGTCAGTCCTGGAGGGGAGACCAGGAACGGCCGGCTGAGCTGGGGGAGGGCCGGAGCTGCTCTGCTGCTGCCCACTCCCAAGCTGGGTCCCAAGCAGCAGGCCCAACCCATAATATACCAGTGGTTTTATTTCATTACCAGCCTAAATGGGTGGCCGTTAAATAGATAGAGAGGTCGACACAAAGCATGCCTGCACGTGTGCACGTGGCTGTGGTTGTGTAGCGGAAACCTTTTCCCATCCCGGTGCTCGCTGCTCAGCCGCAGGCCAGCAACGTTCATGCCCCGCTGTTAGGAGCAGGAACCGTCCTCAGCTGCGGTGGCCCTGTGACCACTGCGGGGCAGGGGTGTCTCACCCCAGCCCACCCTGGAGCGTGCAGGGTGCTGGCGCTTTCCAGACGAAGCAGTGCTGGGGAACTTGAGCTGCCTCCTCTCCGGGGGCCCAGCCGCTGGCTGCATGGGGAAGGCACTCACATACACCACGGTGGTGGGAAGACAAGCTTTTTGGGGAAGCGATGTCGTCAGGTCAGCGTCTGGGGCAGAGAGCTGGACGCAGGCTCTGGAGGCGACAGCATGTCACGTCCCCCGGGGGCTCCAGACTTGGCCGTCCCTGCAATAGCCCCGGGCTGAAAAGATGCTGCCTCTCTCCATCAAGCACCCCGGATACTTGTTATGCAGCTGGGTTGGGGTGTGCTCAGCACCCCTATGGGCCAATCCTGCCTGCCTCCCCCCAGGTGCCCTCCAGCTGGGCCGCAAGCTCCCCGGCAGCGAGCCGCGGAGCGTGGCCACGCTACCTCTTCACTCCTCTGCTGCAGCTCCTGCATTTCGAAGGCCGGGCTGGG